TTTTTTTTTTTCTACACATTTTATTTAATTGTTTTCAATCGAGTCGAATATTGGTGTATAAAAAGATAATAGTTTACGGTGCAAAGAAGAGCTTCGGTATAAGCATTCTCTCTTTCTACGCAGTTTTCTAATGGATTTCTAAGCTTAGTTTGAAAAACTAAGAACAGGCCAAATCTGTTTATCGTACGTATCAGCAAAGGTCGCATGAACGAGTATCAAGGGAGGTGATCAATGTCATTTTAATATAACTGTCATTGCACATCTTTATCGAATAAGAACGAAAGGAAGATTGATAGAGAAGAAAAAAAAAATAACAGATAAGAGTAGGAGCAATTGTTCGCGTCCTCGTCATCGTCCTCGTCCTTGTCGTCTCCGTCGTCTTCGTTGTTGTTGTTGCTTTTGATATTTTGTTGTTGTTGTTGTCACATAGATGTTGTCATATTATATAACGTAGTAGAGTTAGTCTCGTGTTAACGTATCTCTTGATCCAATTAACCTGTGCATTAAAAAACAAGGAACAACTGCATATCGATTCGTATGGGATGATTAGGCACGAAATTCGGATCGTAAAACAACGACCACGTCAATGTCGTTCGATGTAGCCTCTCCTTAAGTTTTCTAAAGTTTCATGAACCGCTAATAGGCACGGTAAGGAATTCGCGAAACGGCAAGTCCAGAAACGAAGCGATAAAATACACTCTCTGAACACCGCTCAGAACTCAACTATTACGGCTGAGCAGGCTGCCAATCCCTAGAATTCAAGTCTATAGGCACTGCAACTAGTCTCGTGGTCCTGCAGATTAATCGTGCATCGGGATGCCGAGGGTGAAAGGTCAATGTGATTCGCGGCCAGGGCTTCCTCGTTGTCCGCAACCCAATAACCCAATGTGTCGGTGTCGTAAGTCGGTATCATAGTCACCTCTGAGAAACAAGATCATCAAGGTCAATCCAATTACAATCTAAATGCTTCATAATCTTCGACAAGATCCTTTCGACGATACTTACCGAGATCTTTGTCCTCCCAGGATCTTTTGGCTTCCAACAAAGCGTCGTACACCTCGCGGCTCGGCTCTGTGCCGCTGAACACGTAATATCTCGCCCGTACCCTTTTGAAAAATTCCAACGACGTGTAATACGAGTTCCCGTGATGAGGCACGTAAGTCAAATCCACGTAAACCGGTTGCACCTTGTTCTTCGAATCTTTCATCTTCTTCTCGTTCTTTCCCGGGCTCTCCGAACGTTTCTTGTTCTTTATGTTCTCCGACAGCACCCTCTTCGCTTGCTTCTTCTCCTTCTTCGGTGTCCCCGGTGCTCCCTTGTTGGAAATTTCGTTGGTCACTGGTGCTGGCGAGGGCAATCTCAACGGTTCCCCCCAATCGTGTATCGCGTCGAAATTTATCTCCGTATCGGAACGTGGCTCATTGTTCGCGTTGTTACTCGTGTCGCTGTTCCCGGGTTGAGATTTCTCATTTTTCAGGTTGAACTTGCGAGGCGGGACAGGGGATGGAAGGCCGAGAGGAGTTCCCCAACCGTCCAACGGGTCCTTCTTCGTCTCGGTCCTCGAGTCGTCCTCCTTGTCGCTTGCATCCGACGCCTCCTGGCGAACGCTGCCGTTCGTGTACCTCGACGAGACAGCCCTTCCACGCGACTCGGCTGATTCCTTTCCTTCCACCCCCATAGTTTTCTCGAAATCGAGGCCAGCCTCGTCGATGTACCTCTTCGCGTCTTGCCTCTCCTTGTAATCGCCGGCGTACTCTTTCTCCACCAGGAATCGTTTGAACGCGTACGATGAGTCGCTGTGCTGCTCCTTCGTCGAAATCGAAGAGAGATCCCCGCCCTTGCCGAGTTGAGACGAGGTTGGCAGTTCGCCGTAATGGCTCCCTGTCATACCGCCTTCCTTCTCTTTTTCTTGCTGCGCGGATCGATGAAGGGGGATGTCGATGCCGCTTTCCTTGCTTGCCACGTACTCGTCCACCTTCACGTCCACTTTCTCGGCCAGGATCACCGTCTCTCCCTTTTCGTTCGTCGTTTCCGTCACCTCTCGAGTCGTGGTCACGATCTCTCCGTCGTCGGACACCGTCTTCGTAGTGGTGATGATCGTTCGGATCACCTCGCCTGATCTGAATCCTTCGGGGGTCCCCGTCAACGATCTGCCCTCGGATCTTCTGTCGGGTGTGGATCTCCCGGATGGTACGCCACCGATATCGGAGGCAATGTCGCGCACGTGAGGGGATACCGGGCGTTTCTCCGTTTTTACTTCCGCCTCCAGTTTCTTCGTCCCTCCCTCCTCGTCCATCCGTTTCTCTTCCTTCTCCTGCTTTCTCGCAGTGTCTTTCCCCAAGGTTTCCCTGATCACGGTTTCCTTGATCGTCGTTTTCTCGTCGGTGGTCGAAATATCGCTCTCATCCACCTTCGTGATCGTTGTCGTCACCTTCACGTCGGCGCGTGTGCTCGTTACGATGTCGGATAATTTGTGGCCGGTCAACAGTTTCTCAGCATCTGACAAGCTTACCTTACCATCGGACAACGCGTCCCCGGTGATCACAATTTGTTTCGTCTCCTTTCTCACCGTCTCGACCGTATCCGGGATCGTTATTTCCTTGCTCGTAATCTCTTTAATCGTTTTTAAATCTTCGATCTCATCCTCCGGAACGATCTCACGTTTCACGATCTTCTTCACTATGATAACCTTACCGTCTGGTGAAATTTCTGATTCCTCCTCGCCTAATAATAATTTCTCGTCCATAGCGGCTTCCTTGATCTCCAGCCTCGTTGCATCCGACGATTCTTCGGTCATCTTCCTGATCGATTCGCCGATTTTACTCTCTTTAAGTATCTGAATAGTATCTGGCTCTTCCTCGAGCACTTCCCGCTTCACGATTCTCTTCACCACGATCACTTTACCGTCCGACGAAATTTCTGGCCGCTGTTCGACCGATTCCTCCTCGATCTCGATCGGCTCACCGATCTTGCTCTCTTTCAATATTATCTGACCAGGTTTTCCTTCCGTCTCCACGACGGATGTCCTCTGGGTCACCGTGGAGGTGATAGTGGAAGAGGTGATCTTGGAAACGTCTTTGTCTGACGGTTTAACGACAACCGATTTCTCCTCCATTTTCTCCACCGTGGAGGCTGTGGGTTCCGAGATCGAGTCGGGTGTCTCGTCTCGGGTCATATCCGGCGTTGACTTGCCCGAGAGCGTCGTGATGTGAGTGGTTCGTATCTCCGTCACCCCGCCGACGAACGCTTTGTGAAATTGGCTCTCGTATTGGCCGACCGTGTAATCAGATATCGACGCGTCCATTTGCGTCCCTTGTTGCTGTATTCTTGGATATTCGGATGCCTTGTAATCGTAAGACAATTTTCTTTCTTCGTATCGAGGGGATGGTGATTTTTCGTAACGGAAGCCGTCCTTGGCGTAACTGTCTTCACCCTCCTCGTCCTCTTGATAGTCGATCTCCGAGTCAATTATGGATTCTCGGACAAGTTTCTTCTTCAAAATTATCTCCTCGATTATTTCTAGAATGATGTATCGGGGCAGAGATGTCCTTACAGTGATCTCTTCCAGTATTTCTTCGGTGATCCTTCTTCCCTGTTTGATGTAATCCTCCTCCAAAAATCTCTCCATCTCAACCCTCTTCTCTTCCGAGATCGATACCTCCTCGTCGATGTGGGGATCGGAGCGCGCAGGGCTGTCCTGGGTGGATTTGTCGGAAGCGATCAGCTCTGAACTCAAGCTCGAGCTTATGGAACCCTCGCTCGTGTCTTTTGTCGCGTCTTTGCCTCGCGCCACTTTCGCTTCGTCCTCCGATCTTTTATGCTCGGCAATTTCTAAAATCGAATCTCTGCGTATCTTTCTCGTCATAATGATCGTTTCGATGATATTCATCACTATAAACTCCGACACCGAATAAGTCCTAATTATCTCTTCTATCACGTACGTTGTAATTTTTCTTCCCTTATTTATATATTCCTCTAAGATATATCTTGTGATATTTTCTTCCTTATCGGCCGTTATATCCCCCTTCCGCTCCTCTTTCAATCGATCGACACTTTCACCCAATATTCTATCCTTATCATCGATTTTCTCACCCAATTCCGGTGATATTGATTTACGAGAAACGAACGACTCTTCCCTGCCCGTTACATCGCGTGACGATGGTACTGTGCACACCATGTCCTTAGACTTTTCAATCGCGTCTGTTTTATCGACAGGCGACACAGATTTATCTTTTATCTCGTCACCAGGGAACTTCGAAATTTCCTTTTTATCGGGAACGTCCGACGAAATCGAACGTTTCCTTCTGTCGCTAATTCGTAAATCCAAAATGGACGTGGGCGATACATCAACCGATCTCTTTAAATCAGAAGTCGAATCAACATCGTGCTCAGCGATATCGGGCGATTTCGATTTAACCGATGCATCTTTGATCTCCGTCGGTGAACTCGTTTCACTCGGGGACTTGGATTTCTCGATATCCTTCACGTCACCCGCAACACTGGGAGATTTCGACTTATCTAATGCATCTCTTGTTTCCGTAACTACGCTTGTTACACTGGGAGATCTAGATTTATCGATATCTTTCAGATCTGCCGGTGTATCACCAGCAATGCTAGGCGATTTGGACTTGGACTCCGCTGCATCTTTTGGTTCCGTCGTGATACCAGTTACACTTGGAGATCTCGATTTTTCAATATCTTTCAAATCGGTTAAATCGCCAACAATACTAGGTCTTTTATCCGCTACCTCCTTTTGTTCCGTAACGACACTGGTTACACTAGGGGACCTAGATTTTTCTACAGTCTTCGCTTCGATATCTTTCGAATCGGTATCGCTGACAACACTTGGTGATTTCGGTATATCTTTTGTCTCTGTTAGAGCGCTAGGAGATACGCTGGGAGATTTAGATTTTTCTTTTGTAGGGATATCATCGGGCGCTTCGCTAGCAATGCTAGGGGATTTCGATTTTTCTAAAGGTTCTTTCGATTCCGTAACACTTGTCGCACTTGGAGATCTCGATTTTTCGATACCTTTTGCGTCAACGTCCTTCAAATCAGGGACATCTCCAGTTATGCTAGGCGATTTTGATTTATCCGATGGTTCTCTCGTTTCTGCTGTGATGCTTGTTACGCTAGGAGATCTAGACTTTTCAATATCTTTAACGTCGATATCTTTCATATCGACAACATCACCGGCGACACTAGGCGATTTTGATTTATCCACAGCCAGTTTCGTTTCTGTTATACTACTTGTCACGCTCGGAGATCTAGATTTTTTAACATCTTTCATATCAACATCCTTCAAATCAATTGATTCTTCTGCGACGCTAGGAGATTTTGATTTAATTTCTGTTCCCTTCTGATCTGTTATTTCGCTTGTTAGGCTCGGAGATCTAGATTTTTCTATATCTTTTGTATCGACATCTTTCAAATCGGTAACATCACCAGCAATACTGGGCGACTTTGATTTATCGAAGGCCTCTTTCGGTTCTGTAGTGACACTCGAAGATCTAGATTTTTCAATATCTTTTACGTCCTTTAAATCTAGTTCTTCACCAACGACACTGGGCGATTTTGATTTATCGGCTGGTTCTTTCTGTTCACTTGCAACACTCACCGTGCTTGGAGATTTTTCAATACGTTTTACATCCTTAAAATCAGGTTCTTCATCAGCAACGCTGGGTGTCTTTGATTTGTCCGATGATTCTTTGACTTCTGCTGTGACACTAGTTACACTGGGAGATCTGGATTTATCTATGTCTTTCATGTCAATATCCTTTAATTCTGGCTCTTCCCCAACAACACTCGGTGACTTTGATTTATCCGATGGCTCTTTCACTTCTGTTGTGACACTCGTTACGCTGGGAGACCTCGACTTTTCCAGTTCTTTCGAGTCAATCTCCTTTAACTCTGGCTCTTCCCCAGCAACACTCGGTGACTTTGAGTTATCCGATGGCTCTTTCACTTCTGTTGTGACACTCGTTACGCTGGGAGACCTCGACTTTTCCAGTTCTTTCGAGTCAATCTCCTTTAACTCTGGCTCTTCCCCAGCAACACTCGGTGACTTTGAGTTATCCGATGGCTCTTTCACTTCTGTTGTGACACTCGTTACGCTGGGAGACCTCGACTTTTCCAGTTCTTTCGAGTCAATCTCCTTTAACTCTGGCTCTTCCCCAGCAACACTCGGTGACTTTGATTTATCGGATGATTCTTTCACTTCTGTTGTGACTCTCGCCACGCGGGGAGAGCTCGATTTTTCAATCTCCTTTGCTACATCTTCGGATTTTGAAGGTTCTTTAATTTCTGTTGTTAAACTTGGAGACCTGGCTTTTTCAATATCTTTTGTATCGACATCTTTTAATTCGGCGACATCACTAGAAACACTGGGTGACTTCGATTTATCCGATGGTTCTTTCGCTTCCGCAGTAACACTCGTTACACTGGGAGATCTGGATTTTGCTACGTCTTTTACCTCAACATCTTTTAGTTCTGGCTTTTCACCAGCAACACTGGGAGACTTTGATTTATCTGATGTCTCTTTTGTTTCTGCAGTGACACTTGTTACACTGGGAGATCTAGATTTTTCAATCTCCTTTGTATCAATGTCTTTTAATTCAACAACTTCTTCAGTAACACTTGGAGACTTTGATTTATCCGTTGGTTCTTTTGTTTCTGCTGTGACGCTTGTTACGCTGGGAGACCTCGACTTTTCAATCTCCTTTGTATCAACGTCTTTGAATTCAGCAACTTCATCAGTAACACTTGGAGACTTTGATTTATCCGTTGGTTCTTTTGTTTCTGCTGTGACACTCGTTACACTTGGAGACCTCGACTTTTCAATCTCCTTTGTATCAACATCTTTCAATTCAGCAACTTCGTCAGTAATACTGGGAGATTTTGATTTATCCATTGGTTCTTTTGTTTCTGCTGTGACACTTGTTACACTTGGAGACCTGGATTTTTCAATCTCCTTTGTATCAACATCTTTCAATTCAGCAACTTCATCAGTAACACTGGGAGATTTTGATTTATCAATTGGTTCTTTTGTTTCTGCTGTGATGCTTGTTACACTGGGAGATCTAGATTTTTCAATCTCTTTTGTATCAACATCTTTTAATTCAGCAACTTCATCAGTAACACTAGGAGACTTTGATTTATCTGATGATTCTTTCACTTCTGTTGTAATACTTGTTGTACTAGGAGATCTTGACTTTTCAATTTCTTTTTTATCAACATCTTTCAGATCAATAACTTCACCAGCAATACTAGGCGATTTTGATTTATCCATTGGTTCTTTTGTTTCTGCTGTGACACTAGTTACACTTGGAGATCTGGATTTTTCAATTTCTTTTGTATCAACATCTTTTAATTCAGCAACTTCATCAGTAACACTGGGAGACTTTGATTTATCTGATGGTTCTTTTGTTTCTGTAGTGACACTTGTTACACTGGGAGAT